AGACAGAAACACCATGAGGACAGTCCTGGGACAGACGAGACACCAGGGCTGAACACATACAGACAGACACCTGCAGTGATTGACATGAGACACACGTGAGACAGGGACTGAAGACGAGCAGGGACACATGAGGAGACAGACGCACTGGACCAACACACTACACAACCTATAAAGACTCCAGTTGTCCTGTAAAACACGTCATCATCTTCATAAAACAATAAGTACTAACGTTTCTTTTAGTATAAAAACTGAAAGCAGAACGTTGAACACCTTTTCTCTTTGGATTATTCTTTGTTTTAATGAGAGGTCGTGGGATTATCCTGCCAGTAATTTCACTCTTGGTTGGAGTCCGAGGAAGCTGAGCATCATCAGTAACATCTGTAGACTCATCCCTGACTCTGAACAGCTGCATCCAGCTGTGGCAGCACATCTGCTGCTAATGGTTCTGATTTGCTGCGTCACGTTGAAGCTGACGTCAGGATTACATTTTTTCACACGTCTGCTCTTTTTGTTTTCCATCAGTGTCTCGTCCGCAGCTTGACTCACTCCTCAGGACCGGCCCGTCACTAAAAGTTTTCATGTTGCTCCAAAGTCCACGACACCTTGAGTGAACGTCCAGCAGCTGCTGGGCTGTGCACGTGCTGGTGATGTCACACGGGGTGCACTTCAGTTACTGCTCTGCTCGACTTCAGCACATCACGTTGCTCAGAAGAGGTGGCGAGGCTTCACGGTGAAACTTTTAATTCATCGAGCGTTTCAGAGCGTTTGAGGCAAACAGGTTGTGAACTTCCTGCTGGAAGAATGAGCATGAGCTTCTCTGTCCGTTCATCTTTACAACAGCTTGTCTTCTTTTGGAGCACGACCTGCCGTCTCTTCTGTCTGCTCCGGTGAGAGCTCGCTGCACCGAGCAGGAGCCTGAAGATCTGATGGTCTCAGTAACGGAGTGATGATGGAACACCTGAAGTGGACCTCCACAACACCTCCTGCAGCTCTGCTCCTCAACTCTGTCTCTGGAAAAATGCTCCATGAAAATGATCTATTACTGTGAATTTATCAGATCGAGTCCAAGTCTGGACAGAACCATCACTCGGTCCAGATCCGGACCCAGGTCCGCCTATTAGTGACCTCTGTTCTAGATGCTGATGCTGTGGGCAGGAAGGATGTCTTGTCCTACAGCAGATCTGAAGAAGCCTCTGACTGAAGACACTCTGTTGTTGTATGACAGTCTGATGTTGTATGACAGTCTGATGTTGTATGACACTCTGTTGTTGTATGACAGTCTGATGTTGTATGACAGTCTGATGTTGTATGACACTGTTGTTGTATGACAGTCTGATGTTGTATGACAGTCTGATGTTGTATGACAGTCTGTTGTTGTATGACAGTCTGATGTTGTATGACAGTCTGATGTTGTATGACGGTCTGTTGTTGTATGACAGTCTGTTGTTGTATGACAGTCTGTTGTTGTATGACACTCTGTTGTTGTATGACAGTCTGATGTTGTATGACAGTCTGTTGTTGTATGACAGTCTGTTGTTGTATGACAGTCTGATGTTGTATGACAGTCTGATGTTGTATGACACTGTTGTTGTATGGCAGTCTGATGTTGTATGACAGTCTGTTGTATGACAGTCTGATGTTGTATGACAGTCTGATGTTGTATGACAGTCTGTTGTTGTATGACAGTCTGTTGTTGTATGGCAGTCTGTTGTTGTATGGCAGTCTGTTGTTGTATGACAGTCTGTTGTTGTATGACAGTCTGATGTTGTATGACAGTCTGTTGTTGTATGACAGTCTGTTGTTGTATGACAGTCTGATGAAGAGGATGCTGAGGGTTGACTATAAAGTTCTTCATTTGATGAAGAATCCTTCTTTGAACAATCATCTCCAAAGGTTCTAGAGGAGTCCCCAGAACTGAGCCAGCCTTCTTTATGAGCTTGTTGATCTTATTTAAGTCACTTGCTCTGGTGCTGCTCCCCCAGCAGATGATGCAGAAGAGACAGCGCTCTCTACAACAGACTTATAGAAGATATGCAGCATCTTGCTGCAAACACTGAAGGACTTCAGCTTCCTCAACAAGTACAGTCTGCTCTGTCCCTTCTTGTAGACGCTTCACTGTTGCATTTCCAGTCCAGTCTGTTGTCCAGGTGAACTCCAAGGTATTTATACTTCTCCACCACCTCCACTTCTTCTCCCATGATGGAAATAGGGTTGGACCTGTTCCTGATTCTCCTGAAATCTACAATCATCTCCTTTGTTTTGTTCACATTCAAGATGAGATGATTGTTTCCACACCATGCCACAAAGCGGTCCACCAGTTCCCTGTACTCAGCTTCTTGTCCATCTCTGATACACCCGACCACTGCAGAGTCATCAGAATATTTCTGCAGATGACAGGAGTCTGGTTTGTACTGGAAATCTGAGGTGTACAGAGTGAAATGGAATGGTGAGAGTACAGTCCCCTGTGGTGCTCCTGAGCTACTGACCACCTGGTCAGACACACAACCCTTCAGTCTCACACACTGTGGTCTGTTTGTCAGTTGTCAGGTAATCTTTTGGCTTATTTGCACTGCTCCTAATAAGCCCCAACTCTGTGCAGCCCGCCACAGAACGAACCCTTTTGCACCAATACTTCAGTTTTTTTAGCTGATTCAGGAACTCTTTTCATCCCTGCTTCTCTGGTGGGACCAAGCGAGCTCAGTGGAGCTGACTCCGGACCGAAACGTGAATGCAGGACTCTGATTGGTCAGGGGGAGGAGTCACTGGATCTCAAACTTTTCACTGATCCGCCATTTGCGATTTCTTGTAACGCGGAGTAGCGACTGGATCTATTTTTAAGATTTTAAAAACAATAATGACAACGCCGTGTTTAATTCTGAAGTCCAGGTGTATTTTGTGTTTGGTGACCGACGACAACATTCAGAGTGAGTGGAGTCACTGCGGAGGATCAAACGAGCGGACGAGTAACCAGGGATAAAAGCTTCATCTATCGCAACCGCCCCCCGAAAACCTCTGAGCAGGCTTATCAGAACTGCCGGCTGAAACAGCATCATCAGAACTGTGGCCGATCTGAAAAACGCTCACGGACAAATCTCAACAACTCGACGTCACATGCATCATGCTGCTAGAGTTTGTTCATGTCTCAAATCATGTCCTGATAGGACAAGATGTGAAGAGATCTTTTTTGTAATACCACCATCTGTCCTCATGGCTCGTCCCTTTTTCCATCTAAAAGGGTTATTCTGAATAAGAAGGCCACACTTTTAGCAGCAGCTTCGTGCACTCCGTCCATCTTTCGGACGACTGTACGTACATGCTCTCGTTGTGCAGTGAGGCAAAAAGTATTTAGTCAGCCACTGATTGTACAAGTTCTCCTACTTAGAAATATGAGAGGTGTAATTTTCATCACAGGTTCACTTCAACTATGAGACAACATGAGGAAAATAATCCAGGAAATCACATTGTAGGATTTTAAAAGAAGTTATTTGTAAATTATGGTGGAAAATAAGTATTTGGTCAATAACAAAAGTTCAACTTCTAGGGGTGCACCGATTGCAGTTTTCTGGTCGATCACCGATTTCTAAAAAGTCTGACCTGCCGATTCCGATTTAGTTTTATAAGCGACAC